TTGTTACACCAGTTCTAATCATGACTGTACCATCTGGACGCAAGCCTGCCACGATACCACCAGGACCAGCTTCGATTTGAGTGAGCTTAACAAATGTTCCAACCTTAATCCATTTAAGACCAATTGGTTTGCTTGCCTTCACACCAACTCTAAAGTAGACATGGTTCTTCCTGTTCACACCCCAGCAGCCAAACAGACCACAAGAGACATACTTCAGGCGACCTGGTACACGACGCCACATGGTTCCCATAGGCAGAGTAGGTAATATTCCTTCTCTGACAAAGATTTTGTGATCCTTAGTGACACCATATACAACACCAGCAGGTCCAGAGTCTATCTGCATCAAAATACCAGGTACGGTTTGCCAGACAGTCTTTGGTTGAGAGAACATAATTTGCCCTCCTACATTAATACCCCAAATACCTCCTTGACCAACACTAACGTGAATCAGACGGGCCACTTGTTTGATTGGAGACATTGGATACAGCTTGTTCGTTGTCCTTCCGACCCTACGTACACTGTTCTGGCTAGAGTCTGTACCAAATACTGTCTTGGTTAAGCCACCATCAATTTGGTCAAGTTTTCCACGGATTTTCTTCCATTTCTCTGCGAAAAAACACAAGAAAAATGATATGTTATAATGTCTTCAAACCTTTAGACCTAAATACGAGATGGTTACTTGACAACTTTAATTATCTGCTAGGTTAGTTCAGTAGATAGAAGTGGCTTAGCAAATGAATAATAAAATTATCCGAACTGAACTGAACTGGTATAGCAATACATGAGCAAAGAATGATGTTTTCAATAATGCCCTGTCCTGCTATCTCAATTTTTCAATAGACCTTATGCATAATGACGTCACAAGACTTGATGCCCGCGAGGAATGCTGGTCTTAGTAGTCATCGCCCAGGAAAATTTCGATAGTGGCCAATTTTGAATTGTTTAATTTTCTCGGGCGATGACTATTAAGACCAGCATTCCTCGCGGGCATCAAGCCTTGTGATGTCATTATGCATAAGATCTATTATATTTATGTATTTTACTTATTTATGTTTATTTGAATGCAGTGCCTGTAATATTACTTAATTTGTGACATATCAACTCATGGAGTATTTCAAAGTTGTGAATGATATACATTGGCGCAAAAATAAATTAGGAATAAATTACGTACTTGATGGTTTCGGTTCAGTTCCTGGTCCAGCTGGTTTACCACCTGGTGTAGCTGGAACGGTGCCCGGCGTAGCCGGGACAGCACCTGGGATAGCTGGTTTGCCACCTGGGGTAACTGGAGTACCACCTGGTGCAACTGGTTTGCCACCAGGAGTAGTTGGAACACCACCTGGCGAAGCCGGAGTAGCAGGTGTGCCGCCTGGAATAGCAGGTTTTCCACCTGGGGTACCTGGAACAGCACCTGGAGTGGCTGGTTTGCCACCTGGAACCGCTGGTTTTCCACCTGGAGTGGCTGGAACGGCACCTGGTGTAGCTGGAGTGCCGCCTGGTGTAGCTGGAGGACCACTTGGAGTTGCTGGAACGCCTGGAGGAGTATATTTGTCACCTAAAACATTGTAAACATCTTTAGTTAATCTATTGTATACTTGTGTGATATAAGGTTTAAACCAGTATGATTGGCTATATTCCAGCACAATGATCTTATAAACAATAAGAATTTACATTGAACTCAAAACACACACAATTTCCATGCTGAAAACAGATTAATATAGCAATATTAATATTCTTCAAGGATTGTAGGATCTAACGAATGTTTCGAATGTTCGAAGTTTAAAACAAAGCCGTTCTCTGTATGTTAGCCTGCAATCCTTCAAGAATATTGTTGATTACTATCTACACTTGAACCCCACATTTCAGATTCCAGAAACTTTATCATGCTTACAGTCAACCTTTTTGACCTTTTGTACAGGAGGTGGAACGAATAATAAGGGCTTACCACACAGGTAGTTATCGTTCCATGTGTTAGGATCGGCAGGTTCAGACCATTGTATGCAAGCTTTGCCACGAATTGGTCCTGCATACGACCACCTAAGATTGAGTGGAGAATCACTTGGCAAACAGAGGTAGTTATCATGCCAAGTATTGCGATCAGCTGGTTCTTTGACCTGTATGCATTTCATGCCATTCACTTGACCAGCAAAACTCCACTTCATGCCTGGATCTTTCTTATCACCCGAGGAACAGAAGAAGTTATCATGCCATGAATGTTTGTCAGCAGGCTCCGATATCTGTACGCAGCGGTAGTCCTTTAATGGTCCAGCATTGTTCCAACGGAAATCATCAGGCCATGATGGGAATGGACGGCCAGGTTTCGGGGCTGTGGAAAAGTAACGAGCACTTTAGTGATGAATGTACACAGCGAGGGAGGTTTTTATTATTTATACAAGGACTAGATTCCCTATTATATTAAAATAAATTTTGCATAACAAAATTTTTTTTATATAATATTTATTTTCAGGAAACTTTCTCACAAAGTGATTTTCAGAAAAGTCCTGAACTAAATAAACAAATTTACAGGAAGGAAGACATGCATACACTACATAACTATGGAAAATAAAATAAAAATTATACGAGGGAAAGTTCAAAGATTGCTGAAAAAGTTTCTCCCAAATGAAGATTAAAACCCTACAATGTGGTATACAATCGTATGAAAGTTGCGAATTATTTGCAAAGCCAACTTACCCACTGGTGGTCTTGTGTAAAGGTTCTTCATTAAAGGTGTTTGAGTACTTCCTGAAGGAAGTTTGACGCGCACGGTAAGATGATCGCCACCACCACCTTCTTTAAGATATGCTTCCATGTAATACACCCTTCCTTTTTCCAAGCCGATTGGTTTAGATCTCTGCTGCTTTTTATATCTATCAAGAGTAACAACGCTGATTAATATCTCTCTATGATGAAGGCCAAGCCAATGTGGAAGCCTGACTCACTATCGGGTAAAGAGACATATTAACCAACTGTGGGAACAACTACAAATTGACTTACAGACAAGTAGAAAAAAACTCTTAAAAAGTTAGTGTAATGCAAAAAATATTATGTGACAAGTAATGGGACACTTAGTGCTCGATATGAAATGTAAATCGTCAGATAAACATACTTATTAAATTGTTTAGGGTTAGTGTGTGCTGGAACTCCGGCAATTCTCCGTGCGTTAACTTTCGAATCATCTGTACTAAGTCGCAATATTGAGGAATCATCTGAAGCTATGTAGAATCTGTAGTCACCAGTTTCAGGGGCCTTAAAAAAGTAAAATTATAAAAAGTTAATATTTATAATCAGGCAACTGTATATTGCAGGAATTAAACCCTGATCGCAGTAGTGAAATGCACTGACTTCTGTTCGAACAATACCCTTGTAAAACAAGGATACTTATGCTATTCTTTATATATACCTGATAATATGCAGTCACTCTTCCACCATAATTATCCCCACGGTTTGGCGGGGTACTAAATGAAGGCAATGCCTGGGTTTTGTCAGGATTATCAGGGTAACGTTTGTCTTTGAAGAGCAATTTCAAGTCATTGCCTGGTATGTTCTCCCAGATATCAAAGTTCACACCTCGTTTGGCTGGAGCTAAAGATAAAATATATTTGTATTATGTTTGAATCTGTATATTCTACATCTAGTGCGCTTTGCGAAAATTCACAATGAGAAGAATACTCACGTTCTTCACTGGGACCAGTTCCAGGTGCACCTCCTGCACCGCCTGTTTCGGGCGTTGCTGGGCCTAATACGTTAGAAAGAAAAAATACAATGAATTAATAGAAGTTATTGTTATATATCATCATTGTCAGAACCGATCAATACTGCGTTATTTTATAAACTTTACAATCAGCAAAACGATAGAAGAAGGTACAGACAACAGGACTGAGGAGTCCCAAATTAAGTCCTACCTACACATTACATTGACATTGTAAAACAATAGAGACAGGGTTACAAGCTTTAACAAAGCTACAACACACGATCAATGCGCTCAAACCATCCTTACACTTTCCAAAGTTAATATAAACTAGGCATGGACCGCCCATATATTGCAGTCCTTTCTAAGTCAACTACCTTAAAATGAGGAGACCTAACAATTGCAAAGAAGGTTTGGGAAATAACCAAGTTACAAAAACGTTTTATCCATCTAAATGTATCAACATTGTACGCCACAGACGCAGTCACAGAATACACTAAACATCCTAAACATGCATGTGTTCCAAGCTGTCCCCGTATTTTCCAAAGATAAGATTCATTAGGCAATTGAGATCAAAATTCCAGTAATTAATACAGTAACTTCGGTGGCTTCCAGGACTTCGGTGGTTCATTTGTCAGAGCAAGCGCCATTCACCTCTGAGATCGTGGGTTCGATTTTCATTGTGGACCCATGTGAAAAGAGTCAGTCCACGCTCTGCCGAAAGTCGCGGGTTCTATCTTGCTGCTCCGGTTTCCCACCACAGGGAAAATTGACAGGATGGGTTAGGATATACATAGTATACATAGTTGGAAAAGTAATATCACAATTGTTGTAAAGATAAATAGCCTAGGCTAGGTAAGTAACATAAGTAAGCATAATATTCGATGTAATCGGTCACTGAATAGCCTCAATGGGGAGTGAGATGAATAATAATCTGTTGTTATCATGAGGTTATCATGAGGTTATCATGAGGTTATCGATACTCTAATAACAATGATGGTAAATAGCTACAATTGCTAATCATACACATACCTGGAAGTTTGGCAAACAGATAATTCTTGGATATAGGTGTAATTCCAAATCCACCAGGACGTTTCATACCAACGCTAAGATGATCTCCACCGCCACCTTCCTTCATCAAAGCCTCCATGAAGTAGAAACTGCCTTGTTGAAGCTGTACCTTAGCAGACTTTTGCGTTGGGTATCTGGAGATAGGATACAATATTGAAATAATGTCGGACTATTATCGTAAACTAGCAAATTTAAAGGGCATAAGACTCGAAAATTGACGGTGTTATTTTTTAGTCTAATTTGAAAGATCATTGAAAACTGTAGAGTAACTTCTTTGACAAAAAGGAGGTTACTCTACAGTTTTCAATGATCTTTCAAATTAGACTAAAAAATAACACCGTCGATTTGCGAGTCATGTGCCCTTTAAGAAGAAAAAGTAGCCATTTATAATCAATTACTATTCTTTTCAAGTCAATAAACAGAAACAGTGAAAATGCATTCTTATAGATGTCAAAAATACCATAGATGAAATTTATGCATTACCAGATGCACTATCCAGTTCTAATTTTGAAGTCAATGTAACATAGTTGGTTAAACATACTTGTTCCATTGTTTTCTTCCAGTCCACCTGCTGTTGAAGACAATTTGCCTCAGGTTTTCTGGCTTGTCATCCGTACTTAATGACAGTTTAGTTTGATCATCACCAGCAATATAGAATACATAGGATCCCGATTTAGGAGGCTAAGAATAAAAAGTACACTTTCAATTGCAATTTTTTTTGTTTTTCGGCTACTATACTCTCTAATTTTATATCAGTATTAATAATTTACAAGAAAATTTCTTGATTGGATTGGCTGAGATCACTGCAATTTTAGGACAATATGTACAGTTTAGGGCCAAACATTGGACACCAATGCAATATTTCGGTTTTTAGCATAGATTCTCAAATAATATGGACACCCTCTCATCCTTTGGACCCACGAACACTGTGAAGACACTATTAATTGTGAAGTTAAGCTCGATATAGGCCAGAATATTAGACTCAAAATAATAGGCTCAGACTAATAGGTTCAAAATAATCCATTATTCTTACCATGAAATAGGTTGTCAATCGTACTCCATAATTATCACCAATGTTTTCTTGAGTCTCGAAACCTAGCAGTTTACTAGAAAGATCTGGTTTTCCAGGATACCGTGGGTTTTTAGTCAGGGCATTGAGATTAGTTCCAGGAATATTGAACCACATTTGCACAGTGACTCCATTCTCTAAAATATTATTAAATGAAATGTGAAGACAACTTGCTCTTGCACTAAGTGAACAATAGGGCGCTTCACTTGTTATTATTGCTGTGTCACTAATGTATGTCAGTTTTTAACTAACGCCATCTTGTATCATGTATAACAATTTGCCAACAATTAACATACCTGGAACAGGCGTTCCTGGAGGCGCAGCTGGTGTGGTTGGAGCTAAAAAATAAATTTAAAAAGATACTATAATATTTGTTTTGAAAATTCAACTTAACTCAATCTATTTCTGGACTTCGTCTCTTAAAATGGAGACTATTTGGCAAATAAATCAATATTGAGAAATAGAGCTTGATCGACCATGTACAACATGAAGTAAGGGTTATGTGAAATATAAATGATGTACTTGTTTGCTAAGTGCAAATAAAGATCACGTACTAGAAAACAAAAAGATCGGTTTCCCACAAAATATCTAAATCATACCTGGAGGTTTGACGTATAAGTCTCTTTTAGGAATAACAGTTGGTCGTCTTCTCCTTGGTCGAGTTACAGCAATGCTGAGATGATCACCTCCGACATCTTCCTTCATTAAGGCTTCCAGGAAGTAGACACCGCCACGTTCAAGTCTCACTGGACGAGATCTCTGCCATGAATACCTGAAAACAATAAATTGCATTCAAAACTCATGTTTCTTGTTTTACTTTGTCTACAACCTAACCTCGTCTGGACAATGAGTTATGTCTACTACAGTATGTCTGGATGCCTAAGTCTGTGTCAAAGTCACTGAATCAAATACGTTTTTTGGGGTATGGTTAGCCCCAAGATATAATATTTTTGGCATTATCTTAATAGTATAGTTTTACTTATAACATTTATTTGCCCAAAAAACAAATGAGCACGAAAGAATATTGTCTTGTTAGTGCTGTAATAAAAGAAGTGCTGTAGTTGTAAAAAGTAACTGTATTTAAACACGCTGACCATGTCAACCTGAGCTGCTTTCCATAAGGGGCGTGCAAAACGAACAAAAAACTAGTAAAATTAAGCTATTTACGGGGAGTTAGAAAAGACCTAAGCTACAATGTGTACTGGTCTATTTACGTTATTTTATTGGTACATCAAAGATGTGAGTAGCAATTTTATTTTTAAAACAAAAGAGAAATTTGCTTTCCCTTATTGCTTTGGGTAGTGAGTTCCATACGGATACTCCATCGAACATGAAACTCTTTTTCATACTATTTGTACAAGGCTTTGGTAAACAGAGAGAACTTCATATGCCTCCAAGTTTGTAGTTTGTTATTTCAGTTTTATGAGTGAAAAGATCTTTTAGGGATTTGGGCTCCATTTTACTTAGAAGATTAAACATCAGTTTTGCTTCTGCTTTTCTCCTTTCTATCGTAAAAGGCTCTTATGATCTGTTTCATTACCCATGTCTATATTGATTTCCAGTATATTGTATAAATTAACTTACTGTTTGAAGTTATTTGGCGAAGACCATCGATTCACAGGGAACATGACAAGAATCTTGAGGTTTTCTGGCTTCTCGTCACTGCTAAGTGACAACTGACATTGGTTATCACCAGCCACATAGAACCTATATGTTCCTGTATTTGGAGCCTACCAAGAAAAAACAGACATGATAAGTTTTCTATAGCAAATGCCTTCTAATAGATAGATAATGGATATATTTTGAGAAAAAAATGAATGCATACCACAATATTGCCCAGTTTCGCATAAAAACAATGAAATTGAAATGCCTAAGTTTTGTCTAAAAGCATGCATACATTGATGAACTAAAAAATCAGTGCTTCTTCAGTGGATATGGACGTGAACAATAACTTACCACATAGTATGTTGTCAATCTTACACCATAGCTGTTGCCTTGGTTTGGTCGTATCGAAAGACGTCTAATCTTCTTTGAAACGTCAGGTTTGCCAGGGAAACGTGGATCAGTAATAAGTCTCGAAAGAGCCTTGCTTGGAATATTTCTCCATTTTTCAAATGTTACACCATTTTCTATAAAATGAACAATATTGCTGTTTATCAGTTCTTAAATTCATAAAATAATTATTTAAAAAAAAATTGCTTGAAAGTATAAGAAAAATGAAAAGGTTTCCGTGTTCCTACCTGGAATTGTTGTCCCTCCAACAACAGCTGTCCCAGGAGCTAAAAAAATTTAGCAGGCTTTAGTTAAATAAAATGGACCCAACGGTTAGGTGTGGTACAATAAAGTAAATAACAGCACAGCAGAGCACAGTAGAGTGAAGTAGATTTCAGTCCTATACAGTACAGACCAGGATAACACAGTGAAGTTCATAACGGTAAAGAAGAGTAGAGTAGAGTAGAGTAGAGTAGAGTAGAGTAGAGTAGAGTAGAGTAGAGTAGAGTAGAGTAGAGTAGAGTAGAGTAGAGTAGAGTAGAGTAGAGTGCAGTGAATTGTGAAGGGGTTTACCTGGTGGTCGAACGTAAACATCTTCTTTGGAAATTGGTTTTGGCCTCAATCTTCCTGGAAGTCTTACTCCAACACTGAGATGATCACCGCCTTTGCCTTCCTTCATTACAGCCTCTAGATAATATGCTTTGCCCTTCACCAGTCGGATTGGTCTTGATTTCTGTTTCGGATGCCTAAGTAAAACGTAAACAGTAAATTTAGTTTCGTAACGACGTACTACATACGAAAAAAGGCACAAGTTGTTACAGGTCTGCAAACAGGTCTGCAAATCTGTTCACAAACTTTCGATAAGTTGTTTCGCACTGCTTGTTCTCAATTGTCGTTACAGGTTTGGAACACGCTGTTAACAACTTGTAACAAGCTTCATGGCATCACTAAAGTTGTTACTAACAAGTCTGATACAGTCATGATATAACAGGAATGTTACAAGGTTGACGACACAAAGTTGTAACAATATTGTTATATAAGTCACGTTCTTGGTCCGTGCTCTGGTTTTAATAAACGAATGTAAAGCGCAGTGATTGTATCGAACTTGTTGGAACAACCTTGTAACAAATCTGATAATATCAACAAGATTGTTGCAACTGTTAACAACTTGTTGACGGCTTATTGGCAGACTTGATGTGCAAATTTTGCCTAATACTTATTAAGCAGTATGTTGCAACAAGGCACTCTATTAACGTATAGCAACACACTAATCTAATGTATTTATGATTAAAGCCATCCAATTTAACTTTCAAACTTTACCAAACTATGCAAAGGCTTACTTGTTCCATTGGTTACGGTTGGTCCAGAAGTTCTTGGGGAAGATAACTATCGTTCTAAGATGTTCTGGCTTGTTGTCTGTGCTTAGAGACAATTTACATTGGTCATCGCCAGAAACATAGAACACATACGTGCCAGTTTTTGGAGCCTAAAAAGAAAAACGGGCAGTGTACAACATTATAAGAGTTGATTGCGTTTATCTATAGTAGAATGTTTTCCGCTCATTTCTTCAAAAAGATTATTCATTAAATGGGATAGGAGTATAAGTAATTGTCAACCCGTTCTTTGAAGACCACGCCTTTAACTATATAAGGGACTCATCTGGTGTTCAATTAAATTTCCAGGGTGAGAAACAGTCACTAGATATTTAGAACGACGAGGAGTCACTAAATACGTAAATTATGATAATGCAATGGAAGGTTTTGGTGGGACTTAATTGGGGGACTCACGTCCTGTTGTCCTTACCATCAGTCATTTGATTGTAATGTATAGTTTTTACAACGGACGAGATTTCTGCACAATTTCTGGTATAGTAAACAACTCACCACATAGTATGCCGTTAATCGTACTCCATACAAGTCACCCGCATTCTGTGGTGCTTTCAATTTCTTAATTTTAGTTGTCACATCTGGCTTGCTCGGATATTTTGGATTCGTAGTAAGACTCGACAGGGTGTTTCCTGGTATATTTTTATACACTTCCATCGTGACTCCTTTTTCTAAGAACAAAAGAAAACATAAAAATCTTTCACAATATTGATGATTCTTAATACTCAAACCCTTCTCAACATGTCTGCAAGATATCCGCAGAGTAAAAGACTTAAAAATTTCATGGATATATAAAAAGTTTACAAAAACAAATGTCTGACAGACAAACCTGGAGTCGAAGGTGTTACACCAACAGGACCTGTTAAAGAAA